ATGAAACTAGCCTACATACAGTTGCTTTAACATTTTTTCATTCTCTACAAACGTGGACTGAATAAATATAAATATAAATAAAAATATACACAGTTAAAATTAATTCAACTGATATACTCAAATCCAAAACATTTTGTCAAAACAATATAAAACGTGTATGGCTGCGTTCAGAATGGAATACTATGCCTTCTGTATACTATGCATTACGCACTCAATGTAGACAGTATTTATTTATTATTTTGTTTTTGAGAACAATGTGAAATTGTATGCAGCATGTAACAATTTTCAAATGTAGTCACATGACATCAAGTTGCAAGTTTTTGATTTTTTTATGCAATTTTGTGGTTATCATCAGGGTTACTGCAAAAATTATTTTCTTACTTAGTATTTAGTATTTACTAAGTAAAAGTTTCCAAACTTTCTTAAATCAAGATACATCAACTTAAGAAGCAAAATAACATAAGATATGATTTTTTCATTTTTCTGGAATAATAATAATAATAATAATCAATAAATACAATAAAAAATAAGTACTTTTATGCTTAAAACAACAAATATATGTCAGTGGACTAAGAAAAACAAATTTGACTTCTTTTCCCTTTGAATTTGAAAGTTTTTATTTTATTTTATTATTTTTATTGATTTATTTGTCTTGTTTTAAGCTTAATCTCACTTAATTTTGATACATTTTTCAGAAAATAAGACTTAATACCTTGTATGTAAATTAATTGAACCTCTTAACTGTCACCCCCATTTTTGAACATAGATGTTAAAGTGCACTATCCAAACATAAATTGTTATAATTCATGAACGAATACCCTTTTAATATGATTTTGAAGTACCATTTCCAATGTAAGGCAATGTCTGATTTTAAAATGCTGAGGGGACGGGTGACAGTTAAGAATGTTTAGATATTTGTTCTGGAAAACAAGTAAAAAATGCTAAATAAAAAAATCTGTTTTTTTGCAGTTTACACAAAAATAGTATAAATAGCATGGTAGTATGTCATTCTGAGCAGTTTAAGTAAAAAAGCGATTATTTTTTCGACTGGCAGAATCCCTCATACATTATGCATCAACACATTAGACCTGCATAATTCTACAGATACAATCAGTTTCTTTTGACAGAAGCAGGTTTCACACTCGTTCACAGTACACTGACGCCCTCTGCAGTGCTGGTCTGGTACTGAAAGTGAACTTTTAGTTGCATAAGATTGGAAAAAAGTAAGCCATTACATCCAACACCCTCATCAATACCTTAACACATTAATAACGTCTGAAAGTCTTTCACAGTATCAACAAATGGAAAATCAGCCTTTTCAGGAGTAGCCTTGTTCAGACTTCATGAATCAGTGCTGAGAAATCTGACACATAATATAAAAAAAGTCATAAACAACGGTTGCTTTTCATAAAAATCATATGCAAATAAAAAAGTCCTAAAGCTAAAGAGATAAGGAATACTTTGGCTTAAATAAACATTATGTCAATGACAACAGAACAATAAAGCAAAAGGAATCAATTCCCATGATCCTGTGTTTCAGTGGCTTCAGACGTCACTTGTTTCATACAATGCGGTGTTTTAAACCAACAATCAGACATTATTCACTTTGACACAACAGCCATACATGAATGAACTGTTGACAGACAAACAAGTATTAGGAATATGCTCTTTTGTAATACAGTAATAAACAGGTGGAATTTGGCATCAGTCATAAAGAGATTGGATGGCTATTAAAAGACGAAACACTGAAACGCCCGTTTTGAGTTTTAGAAATGGCTCACATGCTCTGAAAAAAGTAAATAATACTTCAAAATAATAATTAAATCAGATGCATACCAAATGCAACTGAGTTTGTTTTTGTTTGAAAAGCGAAGCCTATATATAATGCATTTTAAAGGTATTCGAATTTTTTAATAATGCCTTAAAAATGCAGCTGTAATTGATTCCTAAATCATTTTAATACAATTCTCCTATTTATGGTTATAGTTTTAAACAAAGCAGCATCAGTGAAAAACTGAACGATCATTAAATGAATTATTATTTAAAAGTTTTATTATGAAGCTTTTTAACAAAAATTCAGTGCTACAGATATTTTTGCACCCACACTAGATAAAAAAAGGTTCAAGTCCACAATTTAATACTAGTTTGTTCAAATCCCTAACCATATTTATTTATACCAATAATAACAGTGATTCTTGCCTTGGTAACTGAGTATTCTGCATATTTATGAATACCTTCATGATGCATTGTATATATATAAAGCTTCATAGAAAGTGCTACCAAATAAATATATTTAAAAAATAAAAGATTTAATTCTTTGCAAAAATTTAAATTGGAATGTAAATCGAATTTTCAATGAATCGAAATTGGAATGTAAATCGAATTTGAATGGTCTTGAACTATTAGGTTATTATTAGCATTCAAATTAATGGTGTTTATAAGAAGGAAACGGAAAAACAAGGAACGTTTTGCCAGTAATAAAGCTAGTGGCAGCAGTGAGGTATCGTAAATCACACCGCTGTCATCACATTCCACACTGTTCACCGTTCAAAACATTTTCCAGTTTAAGGAATTGTTCCCCCGAAAATGAAAATGTACACACCTTCAGTCCATCCAAGATGTAGATGAGTTTGTTTCTTCATCATTACAGATTTAGCAGGAGAATACAGCATTACATCACTTGCTTACCAATGGATCCTCTGTTGTAAACGGGTGTAAAAACATCATAATAATTCACAAGTAATTATATTATGCCCCTTTTTACAATATGTAATATAAGTCTCTGGTGTCCCCAGAATGTGTCTGTGAAGTTTCAGCTCAAAATACTCCACAGATAATTTATTATATCATTATGAAAATGCCTATTTTGAGTGGAAGCTGAAACACGCTGTTTTTCGTGACTGTCTCTTTAAATGCAAATGAGCTGCTGCTCCCAGCCCCCTTTTCCAGACTCCGTAAGGATGCATTTAACTCGACAAAGCGGTCTAATAAAGGATGTATTGATCTCGTGAATTAGCGAATTTTACTATACAAATATTTTTTAATTGGATGTTAAAGTTTATATGGAAATATTACATGACACGCTGATCTTTTAACAATGCATTGGCGCAAAAAACGCACACCTTTTAGACAAATCTGCCACAAATATTTGGACAAATGTGCCACAAAAGTGCCACAAATACTGCCTAAACAAAATACTGTTTTTGTGCACTTTATTTACTGTACCAATATTTTAAATTGGCCTTTGAACTTAGCTTTATTGCATGGAAAAAAAAGTGTTACCTTGCCAGAGCACTGACAGAGCCCACTGATCTAATGGCTTTGTTGAGCGCTCCAAATGCAAACTTTGCATGCAACAATCAGGCAGCAATTGACAGCACTCTGATCTAGTGGCATACAGGCATCGTCAGATTGACAGTACTCTAGCCCAATAATGTTGGGGGATCCAGTGGGGGCGGCAGTCATATTTCAGGGTGACCGTGCCACTCTTTATCACAACCCTGCTAAAAGTGCCAGTACGTGCGCTCATTGGCGCCCCTTCAGCTGGTGGCGCCCTAGGCGACCGCCTAGCTCGCCTATGCCTAGAAACGGCCCTGCCAGCATACATTCTACAGATCTTACACCTTTTAGACAGTTTTCAAAATGCAGAAAGTGCAAAGTGGAAGAAGAAAACTGGATGTGGTAATACTGCTGGACCAGAGGGAAAATCTATAATAATACAAACAGGAATGTTTCAGGCCGTTCAGCAGAGTAGAATTAGAAAATGTTTGAGGACAGACAGACATATTGACAGTCAAATTATTGGAGGATGTTTTCGATGCATCCATCTTGGCGTTTCCAGCTACGGCTCCAAAACCACCCAGTTTCCATAAAGCTGAAGCGATCCATGTGCAAAAACAAAACAAATGTTTAACAAAGACAAACAGACATCCGAAGATTCATCTCAATCCTCCATCGAGGCAGTTGGCACGTTGATTGAGTCATTATGCCTATAATGCTGTTTTTGCTTCTTGAAATGTTAAAATCTCCAAGACTGCCAGTCCAGAGGGTTTCATATAGTGGTCCATTTGCCATTAGTGACTCCTAAAGCTCATCGTTTGCCAAACCTCTGTGGTTAAACCCCACTCACCTCGACCCCGGCTCTTCTGCCGGCCGATTGGCTGTTGGGTGTGTCAGTCAATGATGCTTTCAGTCCGTTTAAAGAGTGGCCAAGATCCGTGAGAATGAGATGATGACGGTGAGAGCGGTCTGGCCCACCCCAAAAACCAGAGCTTCAAGAGGAGCCATGTCCTTCCCTGCCACACGGTACACACCTGCCACTGCTGCACCTGAGACAGGGGACATCAACATTCACATATGACTAGATAGCAAAGACTGCAGACAAACATTGATGTTGGCTTGAGAAACCCTAGTCTGAAATGGTTAAGCTTAAAGATAGACAGATAGGCAGATAGATACATAGATATTGTATCATGTTTATTTGTTCTTTGTTCTGAGGATTTAAAAAGGAACATCTGAGGCAAAGTTAATAATTAAATGACACATAACCTCCAAGAGACCTTCAGGTCTACTGAGCCACGAAAAAAGCAATATGTAAATGATAAAACCTTCCTCTGGGAAATCACATCTGAAACTGAAATATAGATGTTTTTGTGACTGTGGCTGTTGCAAAGTCAACATCAGTTTTGCAGCCTTAAGAGTTTAAAAGTTCAATTAAGACACCAAATATTTTCCACTATATTTCTGCTTTAAAAACAAATAGGACAATATTATGTAATATGCTTGTAAATATTGACTCTCAGACTAATTCAAAATTCAGCCTAGCAAAAAACAGCAGCAGATACAAGATTAGAAAAAAAGTCATAATTTAGCTTCTCATGAGTTTTTTTTTTTTTTTTTTTACCTGACCCTTACAATTACGCAGGCAAGTTGCTGAATACTGGAAACAGGAGCTGATACATAAATGTGGGCGGTCATATATTAATAAACTCATCTACATAGATGAGTCTAAACAGATCTACATAAAATTAAAGAAAATGAAATATGCAGGGTTTGAAATTAACTTTTTCACTCACCAGCCAATTTGGCTACAAAATTTTTAAGTTTACCGGTAGTGTTGTTTTTGGCGGCCTGTTTTAATTTTAGTTTTAGTCTAGTCTTTGTGTGAAGCTGTCATTTGAGTTTTTATTAGTTTTAGTCACGTTCATACTCTTTTTAGTCTAGTCAAGTTTCAGTCAACTAAAAGTCTGAGCATTTTAGTTTTATTTTAGTCAGAATTATCCATGACTATTTTCGTCTAGTTTTAGTCGACGAAAACTGATGACATTTAGTCTAGTTTTAGTCAATGAAAATGGTATTTTAGTCTCTTTTTAGTAATGCAATTCTATTTAACCCAGTCAATATAGTACAGGGCTCTACGCTTACTTTTCTTTTTAGGAGCACTTGTGCTCCTAACTTAAAAAATTTAGGAGCACGTTCAAAATTTTAGGAGCACCTTCTAAACAATTATCCAAAATTTTATCAAAAAGTAGCCTTCCCATTACGAGGTGATATTTGACTCCTCTAACTTTATTAAAAGTATGTCATCTTTTGTCAAATTCTTTAAAAAATTATATTTTATAAGCTTTTTAAAAATTCTTGCTTTTTGCAGTTTCGCGTGGGCTGTAATTTAAAAACAGCGCCTAATATAAGGTCTCCCTCGCTTCGGCGATCGGCCTACCGGGAATGTCCCGCTGCTCCCGATGGCCAGTAGCTACATCGCTGGGTATGTTCAAGTAAGCTAGATATGCCCAGATGCTGCGCAATTAGGCTTATTTAATATATCATGATGAGTCTCGAGTTCAGTATTTACACTAAATCTGTGCAGATTTGGCTTACATGAACTTCCTCAAGAAATTAATTAGTAAACATAATTTACGAAAAGTAACCCGCCAAATTGGCTAGTGATTTGACAGCGTTACCCGCCACAGCTGATTTTTACCCGCATTTGGCGGGTTGGCGGGTGTTAATTTCAAACCCTGGAAATATGATCAGTTTAATGCAAGTCGTGGAAGGATGAATGTGCTCTCAAGGTCCTGTTTGGGAGTCTTACTAATATAAAATAAAAGACTTACGCCAAAGATCTCTAGACTGGATAGCACTTTAGCCTGGCTCAGTCATTTATGTTCTCCAAGCAGACGTCTGACTGTTATTAAATGTTTTAGTGACATGATTCAGCGTGTTTGTCTAAAAGCCTGTGTGTAGGTTGATGTATATGTAAGCCGCTGTGTGTGACAGGTGTGTGTGTGATGTGGCTCTCAGTTAATGTCTCTCTTTCTCTCTATCTTTCTCTCTCTCTGCAAAATCCATATTAATAATAAAGCAGGCCACTGGGAATGGGCACTATATTGTACGGCTATATATAAATGGAGTCAAACTCCATTTGTATCTGACTTGAGAACAGCTAACAGCTAGTTCACTGACAACCTGCCCATTGTCCTTAAAACATCTTTAACATATTGCAGTATAAAGATGCACCAAAATTTTGGCAGCCAAAAAAAAAAATCATTCAAAAATCGGTTTCGGACAAAATAGTTCTGAAATCATTGACTGAAACAGTAACATTAAATTGAAATTAAAATAATAAATGTAATTTTTGACACATGATAGTTCGCTGTAGGTCCCTCAGCTCAATTGGGAAGCGAACCAATCACCTCTCCCTCTTTACTACTAGTTACAGCACAAAATAAACATGAATGAACATCAGAAGGTATGTTGAATGAAACAGTACAATTTACTGAACTGATTCATGTCTCATGTAATCGCTCAATCAGTGCTTCAACCACAGAAATATGTCAATCACACATTATATTTACCTCAGGAAAGCCAATTAATGTCCATAACCTCAACAGTCAGCTAGAAAAAATAACTCTAGAGAACAGCATTTTGCTAAATATATGCACTATAATACATATTATATTTTTACTGCACCCATGGTCTTCATTACATAATGCATATTTGAATTAATCTGTCACGAAAGCAAGTTTTTAATATGGTCATCATTTAAATGTTAACAATATATCATTAAAAATTTGCATCCTATGTGCAGTTTAAAATTTTATATACAAATCAGTTTTATTTGAGCGTTGATTATTATATAAACTTTATTTCCAGTTTTCGGCTAAATTAAAACTAATTTAGCTGTCAGTGAGGCATTAAAAAAATATTTTTGGTGCATCACTAATTATAATGCATTTTATTAATCACATAAAAATTATTTACAAGATTTTTACTAAAAATCACTAAGAAATCCTAAGTAACTGTCTAGAAATCTCCCAGAACTCACTAGCATCATGCACAAGCAAACACAACTCAGTTTTACTTCAGAAAATGTAAAATTCTAGTTGGATAATAAATATTTCCTAGCCTCATTTTGCCAGCAGAAGAGTGTTTTTTTAGAATTGAGAAAAAAAAGAAATTTAACAAACAAGCTTTTAAAAACTATGCATTAATGAATCATGCACCAAAAAACCAGGGACATTTAATAATATCCATGTCATATTAGGTTTAAGAACATGCACACTTATTTCTAAAATTGCTTAGACCACAAAAGCTGATAAGAAAAGCAGAAGTGAGCGAGTACTGACTAGTGATGACCCCGCCGGTGAGAGAGGCCAGGAACCCCACGCTGATGAGCACCAGTGTGATGAGCCGTCCTCTCTTATGACGCTGCAGAGTCACACACATCAGCAGACCCACGGCACTGTGAATGAACAGAGACGAGAATAGACACCACAGGAACACCCAGTACCACATTTCTGCAGACAAAACACACAGACACAGAGAGAGACAGAGAGAACAAACTGGTTAGAAAGTTAGCTGGTTTCCAAAAATGCAAATGAGCAGCATTTCTTTTAGGAAGCTTATGCATGAATATGTCAGCTGCATGTTTCATTCAGCAAGTGGCAGCCAGTTATGTCAGTTATTTCAGTGCATTTTACTCTAATATTGTGTAAAACAGTTAATACTGATGAATCACACTGGAAATAGATGGTAAAGCACAGTAAACATACAGCACACTGCAAATGTAGTATGGTAGAGTATAATTCTGAACCAAATCATGCATAGTTATGATTTTCTATGATGTGTCACTGTCACATCAAGTAATAACAAAAAACAAGACACATTCTAGTTCTTGTTTGTTCTTATTTCTTTAAAAAAAAGATTCTGCTTTCATGAGTGAAGAGGAACTGTTTTGTGAGGAACCGCTGCTAAAGGAACACTAATGGCTCGTTTCCACCGAGCGGTACGGGTCAGTACAGTACAGTACGGTACGATTCGGGACCAAACACCCTGATCCAGTACCCTTAGGCGTGGTGTATGCCCAGTGGTGTAGTGGTGCCTGGAGAAGTGGGTATACTCTTAATTTATGCCCCCATTTTTTAAGCGGCCCAGCAAAGGATGAACGGCCTGTGTTATAAACAGTGACATATAAGAGTCAAGACTAGTCTTGCATATTTTGTTCACCCCAAAATGGGCCAATAGTATTTGCACATTTTCACTTTCTGTAACTTCTGCTACTTGACTTACTGGAGTAAGGATCATTATGAAATTAATATTAGCCAGAAAAGAGGTGCAGATTTTGCAATAAATAATTAACATGTAAAAAATTACATAGACTGCAACAATTAACATTTAGTCAGAACCTCTAGTAGACACGCTATTTTGTTTAGTTATCTGTAGGAGAATCATGATCTCTTATTTGATACCAAAAAGAAAAAAAAAGAAAGAAAAAAAATCGTGATCAATTTATCCAGAATTGTGCAGCCTACTCCTATGTTTGACTGACTGTTTCTCCCATGGCATAAAGGAGATCTGTAAAATAATCCATGTGACATCAGTGGTTCAACCGTAATTTTACAAAGCTACGAGAATAATTTTTGTGCGCAAAAGAAAAAAAATAACAACTTTATTCAACAATTCGTCTCCTCCGCGTCACCCTGGTGCCATTTTGGAGAGTATCCACTGAAAGCAAACAGCTTATGCTGTTCTGTGTCAGCTGCGCCATGCCGGATCTGTTTCCTACGTTGTTGTTGTGATTTGATCTGGACGAAAACAGCGTATCTGTGTGACGCAGCTGACACAGAACAACATACGCTGTTTACGTCCAGCGGATACTCTCCAAAATGACGCTACAGGGTGACGCGGAGGAGACGAATTGTTGAATAAATTCCGAAGATGAACGAAGGTCTTACGGGTTTGAAACGACATGAGGGTGAGTAATTAATGACAGAATTTAAATTTTTGGGTGAACTAACCCTTTAAACATAACTTTGTGGTCAGCCAAAACGATATGACCAGGAACAAATAATAGATTCATAAGACCACGAATGCCTGCTAAATATACCCAAAACGAAATGTAGCTTATCTCATGTTTAATCACTACAGAGACATCAGAGCCAGCGGCAAATGTCGGAAGGACTAGCCGAGCTAAGGCTGCTCTAGGCAGATACATGAGCACTGAGCGCCCGTTGATCGCCTGGAGCTCCGAAATCGGCATAGCAAATTTTCAAATAGGCACTACCTTATTGAGAACGCATATTGAGAAACTATTGCTATTGTCTGTGTGAAAATATAAAATTATAAAATACACTGTTATATTTTTTTGTGTTTGCGCACTCTGTTGTAAATAAGCCCAACACTCATGGACAGCAGAGCAGAATAGTGAAGGAGAAGCTTATCACCTTGTATCACGCAAAAGTGACAATTCTAGTCAACCAATCAACGTTCTGCAGTGAGTTTAGCTCTACCCTTTTGGTACCCTTTGCTGTGCTAGGTAACCCAACGGAAGGGTACCAAAAAAGTGGTATGGTACGGTTCGCTATTTTGGTACCATTCACAACTTCTGGCAGTTCTGGAAACGGACATAATTGCGTACAGTACTGAAACGTACCACTCGTTGGAAACGAGCCATAACAGACTAAAATTCAAACATACAGTACTTGTACACTTCATACGTTCATTTATTAAAATTAAGAGACTGCAACCTTTTTGTTACATCATATTAATCTGTCATGAGAAACTAACTGTCATTTATTACTTTTCAAGTGCCTTTTAAACTCAAAATACAAAAAGTCATTATTTTGATTGAACACGAATTACAACTTATGCATTTGCACCACAGTCACCACTAATATGCATCACAACTGTTTTTTAACATTAATAACCAGAAATTCTGAATAATAATAGTGATTTCTGAAGGATCATGTGATACTGAATGATGAGCTTTGTCATCATAGGAATTAAAATATATTACATATACATACTTATATAAACAGAAAATAGTTATTTTAAATTGTAATATTTCACAATAGTACTGTTTTTACTGTATTTATAATCAAATAATGAAGCCTTGGTGAGCACAACTTTCAAAAACATTAAAACATTTTACCGACCCCAATGTTTTGAACATTAGCAATGAAGGAATGAAAATTCAAGGCAAATATCATCTGTGAACAATGTTTTATTGTGTGTCATTTTCAGTCAAGCTGTAATTTAGTCCAGTTATGCAAAAAGCATGAAAATATATGTCATTGTGTATGTTTAGGATACACAGAATGTTGGAAATTAAATTAGCCTTGGCAAGACAAAAGAATCAGTCAGTCCAAAAATGTATAAAATGTAATTTCTACCTCATAATTATTCTATTAAACAATTTCACATGTGGTGCACATAATATATGTTGGCTAAAAATGACAAAAATGACAGAATTCTGTATGGATATGCACTCTTGGAAAAAATTAAATTAAATAAATGAAAACTGTATTAAAGGCAACATGGCCAAATATGCCTGTATTTGAAGAAGTACTTCTGAGTGTGGGGTCAGAACACATCGGAACAGAACAGAACACCACGTACTTAAAACAGTGAAGCTCAATAAATACTCTCTCACAGTCTCCAACCTCGCTTTCTCATAAACTGTCCATTCTACTTTCATTTACTCTCTCTTTCACACTCTATATACCTCTCTCCATCTACCATGAGCTTGGAGACTGTTATTATTTAAGTGTCTTGTCCACACAGCTCTGAGGGGAGTAAATGGGCAGTTTGGTTCCGCTGATAAGAATGAGTCAGCTCTGGAGCCTTCCAGAAGATTCCAGGACATGGACGAGCATCGTAGCTCAACAACCAAACTGATTATCAAACTGCTGTTGTCATGAACTCTGGGAAATGCAGCTCCACATAAATGAGAAATGCTTGAGAAACCACACGCTCAGGCAGAAATACTGCTGACAGCCATAATTTAACATGTCAAAGCGAACATGTCAAATAACAAACTGTATATTTGCACATGCAGCGCTATACAGTGCTGATTATAGCTTTTGTTTATCCTGAAGCATGAAGAGATGTTATGTCATTAGATCCTTAGGATCTGTACATTTGTAAATCAACACATTTCTATTATATTTACTGTATATTACATCATATATATATATATATATTTTACTGTACATATACATTATCTAGTACACACATAACCATTGAAACATTTGGACTCTTTTTTTGAAAGAAGACCCTTAAGTGCACCAAGGCTGCAAACATTAATATAAACAAAACAGTAAAATTGTGAAATATAATTAAAATTTAAAATGTAATAAAATTGTAATAATATTTTACGGTTTTTACAGTAATTTTGATCAAATAAAAGCAACCTCAGTCACCTATGTATCACTTATGTCTCAGTAATCCAGACTAAACTGACACACAAACACAATGTATTGATTAAGCTATAAGCTGCCAGTCACATGATAAGTGAGACGTAGCATCCAGACTGAGAGGCCTTTGTGCTGGAAGTCTGTAAAACGCACATGCACGCACACACATGTACACACACACACACACACACACACACACACACACACACACATCACTACAAACAGATCAACATTAGCAACACAGAGAGTCGTCCATCAAACTATGTTATCAGTAAACTGAGGCAGACGGACACAAAAGCCTCAGAGCCATGCTGTGCCAGGAATGAGGTGGCACTGCCTAGTGCCTCAGCCAAACAAAAAGCACAGATAACACACAAATACTGGACAACAGACACTTCAGCACCGAGATGCAGGAAGACAGACATTTTAGAACAAATGGACTGGAAGAGAGACTGAGAAAGACTTTAGCACAGAGGAGTAAAACTAAAGCACAGAGATCCAGGAACACAGACAATGACGTTGATGGAAAGCATTCTTTCAATGTACTGCTTACCCACATTACCAGGTAAAGAGACACTTAGTCATTATTTCAACACTCACAGACTCACATTTTACTCACTAAAGGATATAAGGTAAGGATATTGGGGCTAAAGGCACACCTTTGCTACTCCCATAGTGTATGATTGCAAAAAAAAAAAGTTTTTTTTTTTTTTACATTGATGGAGCAATTGCTTTGTTTAAAAATCTTATAAATGTCAGTCTGCGGAAAAATGCACCCAATACTGATACAAATGCTATAGTAATAACACAGTTGCAGCTATTGCAAAATATAGTACAGCTAAAGTAATATGTTTTGCATAATGTTTAAGGTAATACTTGTGCAAAACAATCACTTCAGCAAGTGTGTAGACAATTAGTGCAGAATCAACTTCCAGGATTCAAGTTTTTCACAGTTATACAACAACATTGACCATCAGGATATATTTGCAGGGTCAAATTGAAAAAGGAGGGTTTAATGTAAAGCTTTCAGCGTTTGAAAGGCCTCTTTAAACACCCTGGGCACTGGTCGTGTCAACAAAGCAGTTTCTGAGGTGACAAAAAAACTTTTGTCAAGGCTGACAACGGTCACAGTGAGAAACATGTTCTCCAGCATCAGCATATAATGATGTACAGCACATACAAACAGCCAAACCTCTTATTCCAATTAAGCAAACGAACAAATAAACAAGCCTACCATCATCAAGCACTGTCTAACACTGTCTAACCACGATAAACAGGACCGGATTTAAAAAACGAGATGCTAATTGAGATAATGATCACCAAATGACAAGTAGCAACATCATGGATCTTTACCAATAATATACTGTAGTTAAAACTTAGTTTTCATGACAGTTTAAAGTTTCTAATGTACTTCTGCACAGGAAACTCAGCCACTGATGATTATTGAGACATGCTATATTATTATTAGCAGTGTCTGGCAGATGATAAAACACCAAAAAAGCCACAGACTTACATTAGAGAAGAACTTGACAAAGAACCCATTTAAACACCCACAACCCCTTGTAATAGCAAGTCTTTCACAGGAAAGCACAACTCAAATTTACATCAGAAATATATATTCTTGTAATATACACTACCATGAAATAAATACTTTTATTCATCAAGATTGCATTAAATTGATCAAATGTGACAGTTAAAACATTTACAATTTTACAAAATATTTCTTTTTCATATAAATACTGTTCTTCAGAACTTTCTATAATCCTGAAAAAAAAGTATCATGGTCTCCACAAAAAATATGACGCAGCATGTTCTCAAAACTGATAATAAAAGTATGTTTTTGAGCAGTGAATCAGCATATTAGAATGATTTCTGAAGGATCATGTGACACTGAAGACAGGAGAAATGATGCTGAAAATTCAGTAAAATAAATTACATTTTAACATATATTAAAACAGAAAACAGTTATTTTAATTGGTAATAATATTTCACAATATTTCTGTTTTTACTGTATCAAATAAATGTAACCTTGGTTAGTAATTTCAAACTGTTGAGTGGTAGCGCTTACAGTATTTATTTAGTTCTAATACAACAACGTCTTATTCGCTGCCTTATAATGATGTTTTGGCTTCATTAATTGTCGACCAGTTTGTAATGTTGAACTCGCAGAAGTCTAATTAATCTCCCATTTATGACCCAGACAAGCCAAAGTTACTAAGAATGCACTGTTCACCCAAAGGCACAAACAACTGCTAAGTAGGCAGAAGTCTGTCTCCTCCCTAAACGGCAGAAGGAAATGAAGTGACTAAATAGGCTTGTTGCACTGACCAAAACAGGAAACGCCATTAACTTTCCTCCCGAGTGGGAGTTTGTCATAATCTCATGCATTCTCTTTGAGTCTCTGTGCTTCTGCACCTGTGCTGTTCTTTCTCATCATCACAAAGAGAGATGTCTACTGCATCAGAGCCATCTGAACACAGCTGTCTCTGTCAGCGGCGGGGGCTTTTGAGGTGGACGTTCTGACTGATGGTCTATTCTGAAGCCACAGCTGATGTGCAACCTCATCCTATCATGTTCTTCAGCCAAAAATTAATATGTCTATTATTATGTCTTTCCAAACCCGTATGCAGTTGCACAAATAGATGTGTGGTACTTTTTTGGAGCTTGACTGTCATGGTCAAGCTCCAAAAATGCTTGTCATGCTTGACTGTCCCCCACTCACCATCATGGACAGCACTGTGACTGCAGTGGAGTCATTCAGGTTCCTGGGCACCACAATCATATACGTTATACTATATGTCATATAGAGAGAGAGGTTTTATATATATATTATATATATATATTTGAACAAACACCTTCATAAAGCTTCAATCAACTGTAATGTTTCTGGCTAATAGATAAAATTATATATATATATATATATATATATATATGTGTGTGTGTATATGTGCGATAAATACAAATCAATAAATTATTTAATAACATCCGTTTCATATATGCACCATTGATTGTAACACATTAAAAGAAAAGAAAATATTATTGCTGTAGTTGTTCATACAATTATGGGTGTAGCTACCTTATCTACACCTTTAAAAAGGAAATGAACTCTACTTTGGGCGATATGGGGCAGTTTTTCCATAGCAGGTTACACCCTTGACACTGAAAAGATGTTTTTACACAGTATTGGTGTTGACTAACACAGCCTGCTCTAACTCAAATATGACTGTATGTCACCAGTATTGTGGAAAGATCAGAGCAAGCACACAATCTACAAGGCAAAAGACTATAATGCTGCACAAAAAAGCCCACGAGCATGGTATCATGTGGAGACCCATATGGTGACGGAAATTACTAACGATTACTCCACTACACAAGCAGAGAGCCGCCAGAAACGATGCAATGACTCAAGATTAACTAAAGATTAATGAGTGGTACGATGCTTTTCAAAGGTTCACATCAGACTGGCCGCAGGCATTAGTGCACTACGGTCTAGACAAGCACAGCTTTTCCTTCAAAGCACACAAAAACCGACAGTTCACAGTCAGGTGCATGAGAAACTATTTGGACTATTTGGTTTGGACTCAACTACAACATCAATAGTATAGTATTCATTGAAATATACTTAACCTGTGGAGTACTATATGAAAATGATACACGATATGCATATCTTGATTCTAAATTATACTATATTAATGTTATTTACAAAAACTGCCACCCTTACAAAACGTCCTTATTGCAGTACCATAGTATTACTGTACCATGTTTTATGAATATGTTCCAAGGTAAAATCCTGTTTTGTCCACATTTAAGGTAATACTATGTATTTTACATTACTGTGATGCAATCGATGAATATAATAATCATTCATTACTATAATAGGGTATATATCAAAGTACCATGGTGCCACGTAAGATATGTAGTTCGCTGGCAATACACACTTAAAATATAACATAACAGATATTAAGTAATGCATGCAATACTATATCTTAATACTGAATTATTACTATATTAATCATGTATGTTATTTACCAAAACTGCCACCCTTACAAAAAGCACTTTGGCATGTTGCCATGTTTTATGAACATGTTTCAAAGTAAAATCATATTTATCCCATGGTAATACTATATATTTTACAATACTATGATGTTAGTAGATCAAAGTACCATGGTATTGCTATCATGTAAGGAACTGGCAATACACGCTCAATATATAATATAAGTATTAAGTAATGCATGCAATACTAAACACTCTGCATTATTAATCAGGCATGTAAGCACACAGTTAGTGTGATGTGAAGTGTGACCTTGTTCGGATGGGGTGCTCGTGCGTCTGCCGGTGTGGAGAGGCATGTGCGCGCGGCTGGATGAGACACAAGAGCCCGTTTCACCGGGTCTTTCTCCTCGTGTGAACGTACCTGTGAAGTGCTGTAGGGTCGGTACCGTGCCCTGGACCCACAGGCTGAGCACTTGCTGCACCGATAGATTAATGGAATAATCCTTATTCATGTTCGCGCTGGACGGCTGGAGCGCGGCCCTCTTGCTCAGAAATCTGACCGAGGATGGGGGACACATGGAGCCTCTTCACCGGTGCCGCTGCTCGCTGGAGGAGGATGGCGGAGCGGCGGTCCGTCTGATCAGCTGCTGCTCAGGGGCCATGATGGGTACGGCTGACACACACATACACATACACACACACACACACACCCTCTCACTCTCACTCACATACACACGCACACGCTAGCGCTTCTGCATGGCTCTTAAAGGCGCAGCGCTCTTAAAGGGAGGTGAACGTCACATTCACATTACGACCAAATACAGCAGTTTATGAATGAATATCATATATTGAATTTATTCTGTATTGAATTTAGAATGAGAGAGAGAGAGTACAATTCTAAATTCAATTTATGCATGCTATAGGTTGTTAAACCAGATACTATAAATATATATTTGAATGTCAATGTATAATGTATATTATAATGTATAAATGTATATTTAAATGTCAATTACATATTTAATATTAAATAAATACTACTACTAATGATAACAATATTTTTAATTATGTGATATTAATTAAATTAATCATATTAATAAATATATTGTTATTAATATTATTAATAATAATACTTTGATTGTGCACAGTTTAAGTTAAACCAGATTCTATACAAAAAAAAATAGATATCAATTAAATATTTATTATTATTATTATTAATTGTGGTCATTTATGAAATGATAAATAATTTCATAATATTAAAAATAAAATGATCATTTACGGTTATTAATATTATTGATAATAATGTTTTTAATTAAGCATAGTTTAAATTTAACCAGAATATATATAAACTTTGAATTTGTATATTTAAATAGCAATTAAATATTTCATACTAAATAATAATTAATTGTAGTAATGTATGCAATATTAAATAATTTAATAATATTAATAATAAAACAATACACTTTTATTGTTATTAATATTATTGATAATAAATATGTTTAGATTATGCTTGGTTTGAATTAATTCAGATTCTATATAAAATAATATGAATTTGTATATTTAAATATCAATTAAATATTTAATATTAAATAATGATGATGATGATGATGATTATTATTATCTAAATAACACATACCACATATAATTTAACCACAGAATGTTATTTAAATTGATCATCATAATTGAGTGGATTTTTTACAGTCAATGTTGAAACTGCACTAGAATATTTTCTGCTAGTCACATCTCCTCTCACTGTTGCCCTGCTGAATGAGATAAGGTGTTGCTGTTCTGGAAAATTCCTGCGAAATAAAACAGATCCATTTTAGGACAGGGATCTGACAGGGTTTAAATTTAAATGACGTCTAGGAAGCGTAGACATTAAGAAGTAATATTAATGTCTGAGCATTTCCTAAAGAAACTGAAGAAGCTTTCCTAAGCTCCTGCACTTTGTGGAAGAGATCATAAGCTTAAATATGTTCACATACATAATATTACATGAGCCAAAGCACTGAAATGTATCAAGCCAAAATGTGCCAACTATCAGAAAAATGCAACCTCAGATTAAATGTCTATTAATTCATCTGTAATATTGAACATAAAAGTCAAAAGAGCCACCCTTTGATTTTTTATTATTCTTTTTTTTTATTATTATTATTTTAGGACAATGAAGCAGGTTCCCAGAACAGGTTTACTGGACTCTGAAAAAAAAAAAAAAAAATCTGAGCATGAACTAATGGGATTTTCAATGGGACAGTGACATAAGCAGAGCAGCTTCTGTTCCTCAAACACAAACCCGGATAATTTTTCCACTATTTATCGGCCTGAAATTTAAGCCTACGCTTGTTGTATTACCTTACAAACCCAAACCTCTCAGCTTCTGCTTTCTCATTGTAAACGCTCCATTGTAGAAGCAATATCAAATAATGGCAGTACAGCAGGTCACGTGAGGACACCACACCAAAGGACTGGATGAAATAGTCTGAAGGCAAACACCTGACAGTGGGCCTTTTGTGAAGAAATCCCAGCTCCTCTAAAGGGCCAAAGGGTGTGTTTTTCCAAAGGCAGAGGGAATCATTCAGCTCCAAGAGCACTGTGGGACTGCATGTACACAAACGTAAAAGCGACAGAAATTAATTCAGGCATCACCGAGTAACGAGTATCAGTCACTCAGTTTTGTGTAAATAAAGAACAAAAAGTGCTTTGCAGCCAAATAAGATAATGGATAATGAAGTAATACCAAAGTAATACCATTCATTACTTGCATAATGTATTCATCATTTATCTTTAATGGCACAGACAGTAATTTGGTCTTGGTCAGGTTAGGGGTACAAATTACCATAACAAACAACAATGTGATTTGCATATCACAAACACACCTCTCCCGTGTGGTTCCTTCCGCCTTGAATTTAATGAGGTATGCTTAAAGGCAAAATAAATAAACAACCATCGTACTTTATTGTGATATTCCATGTGTCTTTTCTGACACAATGAAAATTGCTTGTGGAAAATTCCATGTAGTAAAATAAGTTGTTCTTTTTCACTGTATCCAGCAGATGGTGCTGTGAACTTGCATTGTACTGATTGACCCAGTAGTTTTCCAGTGTCCAACAGGTCTGTGTAATATCTGAGTACGTTTACTAGACTTGAAGCATTGTAGGTCATACGATAAAATACAAAGAATCAAATAGTAATTTTATATTTGAACAAACACCTTCATACAGCTTCAATCAACTGTAATGTTTCTGGCTAATAGATAAAATTATAATGTTTCTATCTATCTATCTATCTATCTAGAAATGTTATGTTTGATATATTTGTGTGGTTGCAAATGTTTTTTGAGCAGTATGTGAAATGTGAATATGCAAGCTCTCAGTCTGACTGTAAAAGCTCTCACCCTTTCATCAGAATGGCCTCAGGTGTGTAAATGTGAATGATTCTCGCAGCTGCTGCATCTAAATCTGTACATGTGCATCGGTTGATGTTAGTGTGTAACTGAATCTAAGGGAGTGACATAGCTGGAAGCATGCAATATCTATCTATTCATACTTTTTTTCTGGATCTTCACATTGTCTGTTTCTTGATCTCTTCAGGTGACTCACATTGTGTGCAGCTCATCTGAATATTACAGCTGTCAGAGTGACCCGATTCACTAGAACAATCAAGTCCCAGCCACAGACCTCACTGAACAAATGCAACATGACACCCAGCTATTCATCACCCTAAATTTCCCCTTTCATTTTACTTTTTTTTTTTTTTTTTTTAGATAAATGTTTGTCTATTGTCATATACGTTGGTTCAAAGGGCTTCAGAAACTTCCAAGTTGAAGTTGTAATTTTTAAGTTAATTTTTTTAATTATATTGGAAAATAATATTTTAATTATATTTTAATGCATATATAAATTGATTAGTTGAAATGCTAAAAACATACAAAATCAAGTTTGTTTGTTTATTTTTATTTATTTATGAACAGTTCCCGAAATTTCTGGAATCACAAAATTAATTGTGGTTAATTAATATATATATATATATATATATATATATATATAATAATATTTTATATTTTAATGCATATATAAATTGATTAGTTGAAATGCTAAAAACATACAAAATCAAGTTTGTTTGTTTATTTTTATTTATTTATGAACAGTTCCCGAAATTTCTGGAATCACAAAATTAATTGTGGTTAGTTAATATATATATATATATATATATATATATATGTGTGTGTTTTAGTTTCTCTTTAATTATATTACCTATAGCCAGAGTTATAAACATCTAAATTACATTTTTGAATTTAAAACTTTTCATATATGGCAATGCAAAAGACTGTACTATATATACTCCAAAAAGTCGTGATTGCATAGATTGTATTATTGCATAGCCAACTGAAAACAAGACACACTGATTGCCATAATGACAAAGAATCAAATATAGATGGATTTGATTCATACCCGAGACTCAAATCTTCTGAATCAGTTCACCAATAAGATTCATTCAGATTCATTCACTAATTCAATGTATGTTACATCATTACATCTGAATAGGTTATGGTCTTTTCATCACCAATATAATTTATTAAAATTTGCATATCTATAATACCTGGAGAAAGTTATCTGATAGCTTGAATTTTAATCATAAGTTGCTTTCACACCAGAGGAACTAATTCATAGTTCCTAGAACTATTGGTGGAAGTACCCGGTTTTTGGCGTCTTTGCATCACAGGAACTAGGAACGTATTTAGTTCTAGGAACTCCGTTTGGAGGAACTAAATTAGCTCCTACTTCAGAGTAGGGTCTAAAACAGTTCTATAGGAACTATCAGTGACGTAAGTGTACGCTGGTTGGCCAAACGCATATGAAACACAGGCAACCCGGCATTTTTAAAAAGCCATTTAATCCATGAATACAGAAAACAGCGATAACGGCATTTAGCTACCTGTTGTCTACAGTGTTGTGTTCTTTTCTCAGCCTCGATGATATGTAACACTGCAAGTTGTCATAGTAGATTTAGTCAAATTTCTATTGTTAAATATGACCTCAGCATTTCTTAACAGATTGTTTGTTTTATTTATTTATTTAATTTTTTGGCAAAATTTAATTTCTTTTTTTTCTATTTGATTTTGGGGTTAAATATGACCTCAGCATTTCTTAACATTTATTTATTAATTTATTGATTGGTTGATTATTGCAAAATATTTCTTATTTTTTTGTTTGATTTTAGTGTTAAATATGATCTCAGCATATCTTCACAGCTTGTTTGTTTATTTTTATTATTTATTTTTTTTTGTGCAAAATTTAATTAATTTATTTTTTCTATTTGATTTTGGGGTTAAATATGACCTCAGCATTTCTTAACATTTATTTATTAATTTATTGATTGGTTGATTATTGCAAAATATTTCTTATTTTTTTGTTTGATTTTAGTGTTAAATATGATCTCAGCATATCTTCACAGCTTGTTTGTTTATTTTTATTATTTATTTTTTTTGTGCAAAATTTAATTAATTTATTTTTTCTATTTGATTTTGGGGTTAAATATGACCTCAGCATTTCTTAACAGATTGTTTGTTTTATTTATTTATTTAATTTTTTGGCAAAATTTAATTTCTTTTTTTTCTATTTGATTTTGGGGTTAAATATGACCTCAGCATTTCTTAACATTTATTTATTAATTTATTGATTGGTTGATTATTGCAAAATATTTCTTATTTTTTTGTTTGATTTTAGTGTTAAATA